CCTTCCTTAACTTTGCCCACACTCCATCAGATTTAATTAGTGACTGGGCCCATGTACTCCCATGATCCCTGGAGCTCCCCCTTATCATGCTGTACTGAAATGATCTGTTTATGGCTTCATCTCTACAATAGGTGATAAGCTTCAAGTTCTGCCAGGGTAAAGACTGCATGCCATTTAACATTTTGTCTCCTGGCCAGAGTCAATGCCTACTTTGTTGAATTCGGGGAATATCTGTATTCATATTTGATTCCCTGGATTTATCACAATGTTAAAACACAGCAGGTATGCATGAATAGCAATGAATAAACAGAACATTCTACTGGATAAAATCCAGTTCTGAGATGAACGTGCTGCTTTCTACTTGTACCCACATCTGGTGCCAAAATGTTTGCATGACATGTACAAATGACAAGCAGACATTTATTTCTGACATTTATTTCTAATGTGAAGAAACTATTATTAAGAATGGGGTTGTAAGACAAACACTGATATAGTGAATTTCCAGAAGTTGGGACAAGCATCTTTAAGTTGGCAGCATTTGCTTTGGAGTAAAAAAATAAGTTTAATTGTATCACTTACCGGCAAGTCATTTCACCTTGCTGGGACTCAGTTTCCTCATCTGAAAAACAAGTCTTCTCCAGCTCCAAAAGCCTGCAAGTGGAAGTAGCCTGCTATTTTTATGCACTGCATTTAAAAGGTATTTTGAATAAATAGGCTCCTGAAAAAAAATAGTGCATAGATGTGTCTTGCAACTGGAACTTTAGTACACTCATATACAAAGTTTAAAGATGGCACATATGTTAAAGTAACTTAGCAATAAGTTGTTCTAAAACATGTTGTGGAGGAAAAATATATAAACAATTATAGACAGAATTATAAAGTGCCTGGTGTTTTAAAAGAATGTACGGTGAATACAGCAACCACTGCAGAGTCAGGAAGTCTAGTGGTAACCAACCTATGATTTGCAGTATTTGTAAAATTTTTTTAAACTGTCTAAAATTGCACCATTTTCTTTTTATTTTACTTTTTTAACTACTACATAAACAGTAGTACAAGATGATTCCACAATGCTCTGTCATTATATGTACTCGGAACTTTTAAGTCACTGGTCTAATACAGCCCTTTCATAAAATACAATTCATTTTGGTCTCCTCATTGGCAGTGCCACAGAGTTGAAGATATTGGAATCAATATTATTACATATAAAATCCTGAGTATCTTAATTTTAATGTCTTTTATAACTACCTTGCTCAAATTTATGATTTACATAAATTTAAAGAAACTCTGATAGAAACTTACATCTTGTTTTCCAGGTTCCCAAGCTAATGGGGCCTTGGCTATATGAAATCTTCCTATTTTAGCCTCTTAAGATTGGATGCACATTTAGAAAAGGCTCTTAGCTCTTACTACCCTGTACACTTTAACAAAATAATGTACAGAAATAACTGTGTTTTCTTAGGTTGTTCAAGAGTTTCTTAATAAAGCCATAAACTCTATGCATAATCTTACCAAAAGTCATTTCCGTGTATGTGTGTGTGTAGACAGTTTCCATCTATTGCCCAGGCTGGAGTGCAGTGGCGCAATCATGACTTATTGCAGCTGCGACCTCCCCAGTCTCAAGCCATCCTCCCACCTCAGCCTCCCAAGTACCTCCCAAGTAGCTGGGAGGTTAAAAAATTTGGTTAATATTTTTTTTTTCTGTATTTTGTAGAGACAGGGTTTCACCATGTTGCTCAGGCTGGTCTTGAACTTTTGGGTTCAGGTGATCGCTCTTATCCCCCAGGCTGGAGTGCAATGGTACAATCTCGGCTGACTGCAACCTCTGCCTCCCAGGTTCAAGCGATTCTCTTGCCTTAGCCTCCTGAGTAGCTGGAATTACAGGCGTCTGCCACCACACCTGGATAATTATTGTATTTTTAGTGGAGACGGGGTTTCACCATGTTGGCCAGGCTTGTCTTGAACTCCTGACCTCAGGTGATCCGCCCACCTCGGCCTCCCAAAATGCTGGGATTACAGGCGTGAGCCATAGCGCCTGGCCTGTAGGGCCTTCTTTATGATGAGTTCCCAGTGCTGGAAGGGCCAGAACATGGGATGCTACAACATGGCTCAAAGAATGAATGACTGTGCTGGTATTCAAAGATGTGTACATCCTTTTACCCAGGTCAGTTTTAAGGGCAAAGACTATTTTATTATCTTGTGTCATTTATTTCACTATAGTCATGACCATAATGAGCTAAAGATTAAACTATAATTCATGAGTATTGAAAGACTGGGGTTCCCTGTGCCTAGTATCTCACTCAAAAAAATGCTAGATCTATAATATTGACTGCTGTTAGAGGGATCACTGTGAGCAGTCCAATGTTTCATCCTTGGTAACTTTTGTTTTATTTTGAGACTGAGTTTTTCTCTTGTTGCCTAGGCTACAGTGCAGTGGCACAGTCTCGGCTCACTGGAACCTCTGCCTGCCGGGTTCAAGCAATTCTCCTGCCTCAGCCTTCCCAGTAGTTGGGATTACAGACGCCTGCCACGACGCCCGACTAATTTTTGTATTTTTAGAAGAGATGGGGTTTCACCATGTTAGGCTGGTCTCGAACTCCTGACCTCAGGTAATCCATCCGCCTTGGGCTCCCAAAGTGCTGGGATTACAGGCGTGAGCCACGGCGCCCAGCTGGTAACATTTTAAAGTCAATATACATGGCCAGCACGGTGGCTCACGCCTGTAATCCCAGCACTTTGGGAGGCCGAGGTGGGTGGATCACCTGAGGTCAGGAGTTTGAGAATAGCCTAGCAAATCCTGTCTCTACTAAAAATACAAAAATTAGCCAGGCATCGTGGCACACGCCCATAGTCTCAGCTACTCAGGAGACTGAGGCACAAGAATCACTTGAACCTGGGAGGCCGAGGTTGCAGTAAGCAGAGATTGCACCACTGTACTTCAGCCTGGGCGATGGGGTGAGACTCCATCTCAATCAATCAATCAATAAAGTCAATCACATGATGGAAAATCAGAGTAAAAATTATCCTTGAAAATTATTTCAGTGGGTCTCCCCAGTAATAGTACACAATGGTTGTGTACTACCTCACTATGTCTCAGAGAGCACAACGTAACTTTGCATAATTTCCACCAGAAGTTTGATGGAAACAGAGCTGTTTCCTCCATTCAGCATTGTGTAAAGCTGTCATTTTTAGGGGCCATGTACTAGAAAAAGATACTTTTTCTTTTTCCTAGTAAGTGTATATAATTGAATTAAATGAGCATTTTCTGCAACAGCACTCAACAAAGCATTGTAAAGATAATGAGTTAATTCTACAAATAAAAACTGCAGGCCTGAGGGTAGTGACAAACGCTAAAGAGTCTATCAATTCAGAAACTATCATAATACATCCTTGAATGTCAAGTCTCTAGTAACACTGGAAAACTGCCCTCAAATTTCCCAAAGTCGCCTGTCAGCTTTGCAACATCTTTCCTAGAGTATATATGTGTCTTTTATTTCTTTACATAGGAATTGTTTGCCAATAAAGCAATTTTTTCAGAAGTATTTCTCTAAAATAAGAATAAAGTCTAGATTCTGGAAAAATCCTTTCTTATATTTGGCTACAACTTATGTTAAGATTTTATGTTTTAAAATAATAAACAAATCTAGTTAAAAACACTACAAAAATATAGAGTTTCTCCTTGCCTCCCCCCTCACAGACACAAAATCAATTCAAGTCTCAAAAAAAAAAAAAATACTCTATGTAATTACCATATGACTCACAATTTTCACTCCTGGGCATTTGTCCCAGGAAAATGAAAGTTTATGTTCACACAGAAACCTCTACACGAATATATATAGCACTTTTATTTGTAATAATCAAATACCAGATATAACCCAGAAGTTCTAATTGATGAGTGATGTGGTACATGCATACCATAGAATATTATTGAACTGAAAAAAAGGGAACAAACTATTGACACATATAAGCTGAATCTCCAGAAAATGATGCTGGGTTTGAGTCAACCCCCAAAAGGTTACACACTTTAATTGCAATTATATAACATTCCTATAAAGACAAATTTATAGAAATGGAGAACAGGCTAGTGGTTGCCAGGGTTAAGGGAGGAGTGAGATGGTCTGGAAGTAGGGGTGGCTATAAAAGGGCAGTAATGAGGGATCCTCCTGGTTATAGAAATGCTCTCTATCTTGACTGCATCAATGTCAATATCCAGGTTGTGATGCTGTACTATACAGTATATTGCAAGAAGTTACTATTAGGAGAAACTGGGTAGTGTTCAAAGATTTCTGTATGATTTTGTATAACTGCATGTGAACTTATAAATCTGAAAAAATAAAGTTAGATCAAAAATAAAAAAGGAAATCTCTCTAGCCTAATAAATTTACTTTATGACTCTGAGATCTAAGCTTAAGAATTCATCATAGCCCTTGGATTCTTTGTCATCATCAGCCTTTGTGGACCTTCCCAGTTCCTTCCCTAAGCACTCCTTCTCACCAGATGTACCCCTTCACAGTGTCCACACCAAAGAGGCTGGAGACCTGTCTGTACAGAAGAATTCTTCCATCTTCCTGTAGCTGCTACAAAGGCCACAACAAGGTATTTCCCAATGGCAAGGTAATCTGTCATTACTCAATTACCCAGATGCAGGGATTCTGTGAAGGAGGTGGATGTCAGCCTTCTTTACAGAGATGAAACTCTGCCAGTTAGGGCAACTTTTTCTCATATATGAAATGAGCCAATAGATTTGTTTGAGGAAGAGACATTCTATTCCAGAGGGACTACTACAGAGAATTAAAATACACACAGGAGTATCTTTCAAGTCTTTTTCCTCCCATAAATGTAAGAGTCATATTAGAAAATTATTTTAAATCGAGTCTAATAATAACTGATTGTCAAAAGAATGACTATGATGGTAAAAGGAATTTTTTGAACCTTTTTTTTTCAGGCATAAACATTCAATCCAATAAAGACATTTTTAGAAAAAAGACATTTTTAGAAAAAAGTCAACCTATACAATTTATTTTATTTTTCCTATACTTTGGCTAAACAAAATATATTCAGTGATACTGTAAAATACTAAGCATTTTCAGTAAAATTGGCAATCAAGTAGAGCTTAACTTTCTTCTGCATGACAACTGAGGATTTTAATTGGAAAAGTATTATCGTTTATAAACAGGAACATCCAAAACATATTTAAACCACTCAAGCACTTTGATTTTTCCATGTCCTTTGCATCTAGATTGAAACACATCACAGGAAATTTCAAAGACCGATCACTGAATCTAAAATTAAAAAAAAAAAAAAATCCATTTAGTTACCATGATCATTGTCACCATCAATCCTTAATATCTTATACTTCACTGGTCACACTTAACTCTGCTATGCTGTTTTATGCTTGGGAGAAGACAAATTACTAATCAATTATGTATACTAATTTAAAATGCTACCTTTAGGAGGCATTTTAATAACTTAGTCATAGGGGTGAAGTGCTTCCTCTAACTGCTTACGTGAAAACACCTTCAATAACACGTTAGCCAGGATGCACTGAACATTTGGGAACAATTAATGCTATAGTCTACATAAACTATCAAATTGCCCCCCAAAAGTGGTGGTACAATTCTGCAACTGGTTGAGGTCACATGGAAAATAGAATTATATGCTAATTTGTTCCCATATTAAGTTATCATAAAAGGTCAGACTAAACACAGTAAAACGAATTCTGGAAAAAAATTAACTAAGTAGATTGGTATGTACCATATCAAATCAAACTGTTTATCTTAATAGATACAAATACAAGACAATCTTAAAGCAGGGGCATTTTCTCCTTTTTAAAAACAAATGTTTAGCTAACCCTAGGCAATGACTTACATGATTTAAAAATACTTTATAGGAATAGTTTTTCCCTAAAGGAGAACGGGGCAGGGTACTTTTTTTGCTTTCAAGCAGAGAAAAGTAATGGAAAAGGGCATAATATCCAAAAAGGAAAAATTTCCCCAGAAAACTATTTCCTCTACTTTACATGTTTCTTAAATTTAATTCACATAGTTCTACATATGAACTATAAAATGAACACACAAACACACATGCTTAGTTTAGCTGAAAATTAAAGAGGGGTCAGGAGATGGTGACTATAATACATTTATGATTGTACTCCAAAATAAACTAAACAATAATATAGGTGTTTTTCTTAGCATACATTTGTGTTTATGCTTTATTTTCCATATCTAACTTTATTAAGAAACTATTGAGGAAAAAAATTTGTATCTTTTTTTTTTTTTTTTTTTCCTGGAAAGCGTAAGTAATTCTATGGTTACCATGTTGACTTAAAAAACTGTAAATCAAATTAATGGTTGATGAATTTGGGCCACTAGTTTCACATATGATGATCCCTCATATTTCTATATTTCAAAGGTCCTTTTAAAGAAAAGGGGAAATAATTTGGAGGCGAGATGGAGAAATGAAATATTACAGCATATGAAATCACAGGTCTAGTATTTTATAAAGCATCCAGTTTATTACAGGACACAACTAAGTGACAGAGATCATCTGTCACACCCTTAGGCAAACTCCTGAGAAAAAAAATAAAACAATAATTTTGTGTTCTAGAGACTATCCTTTTTTCCATCAAAAGATATACTTGTATTTTTCATTTTAACATTTCCAGTGGCATCCTACAAGAGAACTAGCACTCACAATGAGTCATCTGAATTTTCTTTAAATCAAAACTCATTTTTAATTTCTAAACAGGTTTTACTATTGATTTAAATAAGATTACTATTAGTTACCATAAAATGAGTTTGGTTTCCATGAAATATCAGTTTGACATCTTGTTCAAATACTTACTTTTCTGCTACATATTACCAGCATTGTTTATCCTATTTTCCTTCCTTATCGAGTTAGATATGGAGATACCTAGGCATAAAGTCTTTAGATACCCTGATGGACTAAAAATAAATTTATTTTTATAAAAAATATAAAATTTATTATTCTTGTTTTGAAGGATTTTATGTATTGGGAAATAAACCCATAAAAAGTTGAGAATTATATTAAAAGGGGGTAAAAGTCTGACAAAAATGAAAACATGCAATGATGCCTAAAAAATCAGGACTGAAGTAAATTAATCTTCATTCCCACTGAAAGCAATCTGATGTCCAGAGACTGAAAATTATTCTACCATAAAATACAGCACATTAAATACTACAATAGCCCATTTGAAATGTCTTAATATAATTATGATATCATCTACAAATGATTGTACATATATTTTAATATTCATTACTTGAGATTCCAATGCAAAATATATTGAAATTGTAAAAATATTAAGTCGGTTAAAGACCGCATCAAATCAGTAACTATTCTATGACTAAAAGTAAGACTGAAAATAAGAAATGAAAAAAAACACTAAAAGCAGGGTCAACATATTTGGATGTTGCTTATCAGAAACAACACTATCATTCCTGATGGTTTGCTTATAAAATTCTATATTCCTACCAGCTAGCTGAAAAGAATGAAAAGCTTCTTATAACCAGCTAAAAAGAAAGACTTTACCATGCCCCTTGAAAAAGCTCATTTTCACATTACTCAGGCTTCATTATGCTAAATCAATATTCGTTTAGTCACTGGGGTTATTGACATATTTTAAAATAAAAGTATACCCTTCAGCTACTGCACTCATTACAGGTAATTTGTCTTGTCAGAGAGCAGGGAATATTATCCTAGTCTTTCAGGGGCTGACAGCCCATGGAAATACCTCCCCATGGTTACAACTGTAAATAATTTTAAGGTAAAATATTGAAAAATCAATGACTGTTTCCTGCAATCTGTCACAAACAAATCAATCATAATCCGTACTGCCAGAGAGTATGATTTGAAGGAGATGGGAGCAGATGTAATTCTTGGCTGGAATCTCTCATTTCAAAATCACTTCACATAATGGTGTCATCATTTAAACACTTAACAGTCAGTGCAACTGCCACTGTAACATCTAGTTGGACAAAACCACGAGGAGGGGGAGGAGAAAATGCCATCATTATTATGTTAACAAACATTTAATTTAAATGGTTGCTGCATTAGTAAATTTCAGCTGAAAACAGTTTTACCTGCCCCCTTTCACAGTCCCAAATTAATCAAGGCTGCTTTTCTATAATCTGATGCTTAGTAAATTAGCTGATTCAAATTTTGCCCTCTGAAGCACATACACCTTTTATTTTAAAAGTCCATTATAGAGAATAAAATTTGGAATTAATATATAAGATATCTGAATTGTAGAACACCCCTCTAATTCTGTTAATATAGCAAAGACAAAACAGTATCATATATGTCAACATCATACTTTTAAAGTAAGTTTAAAGGTCTCAATTGCTCAGATATTAAATTTATATTTTCCTTCTATTAAAAAATATTACATTTCAACTTTGTAATATTGCAACATATTTTAAGATGACCAGCAAGACCTAGTTAATTCAAAAATACCCTTGCATTCCATACACAAGCTATCCCATAACAACTCAAGTATATGATGGGTAAAAGTTGGTGAAGGTCATAATACTGAATTTTTTTGCAAATGTAAACTGCTTTCCAAGTAATCACTTTGATATCACCATTTTTTACTAGACTACATTTTAATCGCTTCCTTAGCTGCTTATAACCTCTACTTAGGCATGAATAAAAAGAATCTGAAATTGTTATATTTCCCCTTCCTGCTGTGTTAACCAAAAATACTATTTGACTTAAAGATTAAAGAGTCTTTTTCCTGAAGGTTTTTGTTTTTAAATGTACACTAGTTCTTTTAATGAAAGAAACTGGTTTTAGCCATGTTTCTAAGCAATTTCCTAATTATATAACTAGACACCATGAAGTCCTTCATTGTTTTATTAATAATATTCCTCCCCAGATATAGTTCAGGGGGCAGATTTTTTTAAGCCAGTCAAATTTAGCGTTGGGGGTTGGGGGAAGGTGGTATGTCAACATTAGTGAAAGGGGCAGATATTTTTGATGCCTAGAAAAGTATATTATTTCCCCTAAAAAGGAAAACAGATATAAATACCATTACAAAATTTCAGCCTGTATAAACATTCCTAGATATAGTAATTGGTCTATTATAAAAAGGTTTTTCTCTGTTTTTAATTTAGCCTGCATATTCAGTGTGGCTACATAGCATCAGAGGATTGAATCTTTTCTCATACATACAAATTGAACCTTTGCTTCTTAAACACCATTAGGTTTTTGAAAATGAAAAAGTACATGGGTAAATTATCAAAGAAATAATCCACAATAAAAGAGAGCCCTCCATTCCATATGAATCCCTGCAACAGCTGCAAAGCAAGCAGGAAGCCAACCTAGGAAAAGATTACATGAAAAATGGAAAGGCACCTAAGGGTCTGAACTAGGAAAAGACCCCTGTGCAGGAGCTCCTGGCCTCCAGGACACTACAGTGCCCCACGCTGGGCCCAGCTAACTTCTCAGCAGAGCACTGGAACCAGTTGCCAACCACCAAGTCTTCTACTCAGAGTTTGGTCATGTCTGGCAGTAAATCATCCAGCAGAAAACACATTTCCCCCAAAATGAAGGCAACAAAGAACTGGGAGGCGAATGAGGACGGTTAAGCAACATGCTAAATGCATGCACGTCAACCACAAACTAAAATGACATCTACAAGAACTGTGCAGGACACCTTCGCAGATCTAATTCTCAGAAAGAAGCTATTTTAAGGGTGCTGAGTATGGCTAAATGATATTTCTCAGCTCTACCAATGCAGTCCATAGCACTAGAAGAGGCAGGCTCAAAAACTCAGCAGAGGAAAATAAAATTGTTTCCATATACCAAATTTAAAGAAATTGCTGTCTACTGCACAAAGTTCTTACATGTAATAAAGGTTCAGGATTACAGAGGAAAGTATTCTTTTAAAAGAGATAACATTACCTCCTTATCTTCAGAATCTCCTCCTTCCAATAGCCAGTACAGTAGCTCCATTATGAATTGTAGACTCTTAAAGAGAAAAACAGGAATAGTTAGCTTCATCTTTTGCACCACTTCCTTCCTTCATGGAATTACAATTTAATTACCAATACTCCAATTGATTTTATTCCTAGATGATACATTTCTCAAAAAGCATGCTCTTTAGCCATTTCCACTAGAGAACGTTTAATACAACCTTCTCAATTAATCAACCAAAACCCATTACTGCTGAAAGGACATGTTTTCTTCATATTTTCAAGAGTGGGAACCCCCTACATCTATTTTACATAGAAAGAATATAAGAATTTTAATACATTTGAATACCTTTAATATACATGAAATATGAATCTTAATAAATATGGCCGATAACAGATATAAAACTCAACCAATCTGCGTATGTGTTTAGATTTTCCCTACATTTACCCTTAGGAGGAAAAAAAAAATCACTCAATCCTCTTATGTTTTAAATTCAACAATTTTATACATGGTCTAAAACAAAGTAAAACAAAAAACTAAGCTTAAAGGCAAACAAAAAGGAATCAGATTGCTCACCGCCTAACACTTTCTTTATATTTGTGTTGTGTTTTCCAACTCACTGTAATGCTTTAGCTCTCAGTCATACATGAAACCCAATTTCCATTAGCAATCAGTAACAGGAAAACACAAGGATGTTATTTTAAAATTATTATATATCACTTCATATTAGTTAAAAATCACTGTAATGCCTCGGAAAGTATTCAGAGAAACATTTATTTTACTGGAGGCTATATTAACTACTGCCTTCTGTAAAATTAACTTTTTATTTTTTCAATTATAAGAAGCCATTTATTTTTACTTAATAAAGTGTTCTGAGTCAATAAATTCAGTTCCTAGATCTGACCACTAGACAAATATTCTGCAAAACAATTCTTTCTCATAGCTTTTCTTATCTGCCTATATTCAGCAGTCTCTATTTGATGAGAAATGACAAGTTTTACATACCTGTGTGTACTCTGTCACTAAAAAAGTTTGGTACCCCTGACTGGAACTGATATTCCCACTAAATTTGTTCTTAAAGGAACTAGGTAATTGAAATGATTAAAAACTCTAATTAGGCATAAACAGGTTATTTCTCTTAAATAATAATTCTATTTGTATAAAATATCACAACCTTCACTTTGATTTTTATGAAAAGCACTGAGTTTATAAATTTTACTGTCCAATTATACCATTAAAAATAAATTATTCAAAGTAATTCCATGATAAATAGTAAGTAAAAATAAATTATTCAGTTTTATTTCATGAATCTAAAATTTTTCTATTTACGGTACTCTTGTTTAATGAATTAATAAAAATTTTTAATGATCAAAGCCTCAAGTAACTGACATTCTCTACATTTTGTACTTAGCCTCTATTATCAATACAAATACTTTGGTAAAACCAACATTGATGCTATTTTGGATTGACTCCACGTACAAGCAAACTGTGTGCAGACACTCACTTGCAGACGAGCCTTGGGATGTGCAAGGACAAATTTCAGCCAACATTTGGAGGAACCCCTTAGTTCAGAAGTGAACTTAGCTGACAACATCCAAATGTATTACGGAAGCATCACACTTATCACCTGCACAGAAAATGGAAATGATTCTGTTTAAGGAAACACAGAAAACTAAGTAATACTTTTGGGATATTAGATTCAAATATCCAATTTTCTCCAAGGTATCACTCCATATTATGGCAAATAAACAAATAAAAGCTGTATCAAGGTGTGGAATATCATTAGCCTGAGAAAAGACTAGAAAAACGGATTACAGAAATGACAACTGCAGGAGAAAATTACATTCTCTTCTCCCGAACAAATGTTAAGTGCATGCTTACTAATAAAGACTTAAACTCAAAGTACATTAGAATATACTGGTTTTCAATTTTGAAGCATCTAAGTTAATTTGCTAAGCTAAATTGGTGTTTAGGTATACTACAGCTATAAAAACACTGCAGATTTATGCAGAAATAAGTCTTCAGCATCACACTTCGGAGTAGTGCTATGAAAGCAAACCAGTCATTATTGAAAAAGGAAAAAAGAATTCCTAGATTTGACATGTTCTTAGAGTTGCACCAGCTGCTATTCTATTAAGAAAAATTATTCCCTATAAACAGCTAACAAATATACCAAAAAGATGTTAAAATACAGGAGTCAACACAAAAGAGATATTGAAGAGAAATACACAAAGATAATGAGATACTACCACTCCAAACAGGCTGTACTATCCCAAAGTTAAAACATTATTCCAAAGTATGATGCTATGTTCATAATCTATTGTGAAGAGCATATTTAATTCACTCAGGATTACATGATTTAATTTACTTTCCTGTTATCAACTAAAGAACATTTTTTCCTAAGATTTCTAGAATGTACACATATAGTAATAATTATTGAGTTATTCGTTAAAATGGACAATTAGTTCATATTCCTATTTCATCTCTTTTAATGCAATATATCAAATTTGAAAATAACACATGGATAACACCATAAGAATGCTCATCATAGCTGCCAGAGGGGAAAAAATTTTTTGATTGGGGGTGCTATGGGAGATAAATAAAGCAATTATCTCAAAATTAATGGTCTTGTTTTAGTTTTAGCAAACAAATCTACATAAGTCTTTCTTTTAGTTTACTATGTAATTCTAACCAGCTAATTATCCTTGGAGTCAAGAATGAGCTGTGACTACACCTGGCTTTTCCGATCATATGCCTATGGTCTCCTCCACTTTCATTTCCTCTTTCTACAGTGAGTTTTAATATTAAAGAAAAACATACACACTTCTTACATACACACTGATAGCCAGCTTCCAGGAAATCATGAGCTACAAAGAGAGGGGAAAATCTTAATGCAATACTTATGTTAAAAGGTATTAGGTGCTGGGTAAGCCAAGGGTAATATAATCAACAGCATCCATCTTGCCAGTGTTTTTGCATTCCAAGATTTGGAGTGAAGAACAGTAATATTGTTTTAGTGGTCACCCAGGTTATGACTCAGATCCTTAAACGAGTAAGAGACTAAATGCACTATCTTCACTTACTCATCAATTCAAATGCACAGAACAATATTTTGGAAGAAATAAAACAGTTTTCTTCTATTTTTAGAAATAAAAACAAGGCATTCCATAAACATTGTAGCTAAGTACTTGATATGAAAAAGAAATTGTTTCAGATCATTAAGGCACCCCAGGAGACTGCTTCTTTTCCACAAAAACGAAATGGCACAAATTTCTCATATATTTACCTCTTATTACATTCCTGCTCCTGCACATTAAGCATGCCTTCCTCTACAGATTTATTCTGAACACTAATAAAGTGTTTGCTTAATAAAATACTGCTCTATTTTATGCTTTTCTTTCAAAATTAGAAACCATTATTCCACATAGAGCACAAAGAAACCGACACAGGCATTACCAAAGAGCCACAAGTAGTATTAGTCCATGCCAGAACACTTAACATTAAACTATCATTTCTCTCTAAAACTTCTGTTGCCAAAGTGCTCACAAAATCTGGAAGCTCAAAGACAGGTTTCAAGTGCAATTAAATTCTCCAAAAGCAAAACTGTACAAAAATATGCCGCCCTTCTTATGTCACCATTTATAGACAACATTTTCTCAGGATCTTAATTAAGATAACGATGCACACCTGTGTCAACATTCTCTGGCAAGACAGCCTTATCAATCATAATCCTTTAAGTACACTCCAAAACAGCAAAGCGATATGACAGAAGCAATCTGTTGCCTTTCCTAGTGTTGGTGTTGTGTCTCTCCCACAAGAATGATGAGATCTTTAAAATACAGCAGACCTACTTTTATGAGTCTTTAAAGTTTTAACTGTAAATAGCTATTACACTAAATAAACAGGAATAACCTCTTTTGCACTTGACTGAAACAATGACAACTGTACAGCCAAAACTTGAAGAACAAGCTCTAGGGCCATGTCTTGGCAATACAACTGCGAATCCTACCTTAAAGCTTTAAATTTTAAGAGTTATGCGAAACTGGATCCGTGCAGACATGACAAACCAATAAACCTTTAGGAAGTTTTAAAATGAGAATATTTAATAGTCCTACGTTAAAAACAACCCGAGCAAACTTATCCCTAGTGTAAGTTTAAATGTTTGGAAAGATACAAATGCAACAGAAAGCAAGGGGAGAAAAAGTCTTCTTGGTAACCTGGGATGGGAGGGATACAGATCCCACCTCTGCTGGAAGAGAAAGCTTCAGAGTCAAGGCACCAATTAAACTACCGCTACCAAGTATGCAGCTTTCCAAACGGAAAAGCCGATAAATAGGAAGTAAGAAGGAGGGAACAGCGAAACAAATGGTCTCGACTATCCAGACAAAAAGTTAAAAGCTCGTGTTTACCAGCAAAAAAAAGAACGCTTTCATATAAAAACGGAGAAAACCCGCCAGACGCTACCTGCATGCAGTCTGCCTGCTAATCATGATCCGCCCTTCCCTTTCTCATATTAAGACAATTCTATCTCAGACGCCGGGTGGCCGTGGCCAGCTGAGCAGCAGAGCCATCAATGTGCAAATAAAGCAGAAAATAGAGACATCCTTAAGAAATGAGTCTTAAATTTGACATAGAGCGGAGGTGACAACCACGGCAACAGAACCATACATTCTAAATGCCTCAATATCTTGCAGGAGTCTCTCCAGTCCTTGACACCAAAAATAAGACAGTACAAGAAAATGGGGTTAAAAAAATGAAAAAACCAACTAACAAACAAGCCACGGGGCGGGGATGGGGGGAGAAAGAGCGGGACGGCCGGAGTGGCAGGATGATGTAATGAGGATGTCTGTGTCACAGACTCGGGTTCTCGGTGGCACAAACCTCCAGGGCTCTACTCCGGAAAGCCGCGTCCCGGACGAGAGCCGCGGCGACTTAGGGGCCACGCGTGGACTGAGGGGCCACGCCCACGCGCGCCCCCCGCGGAACGCCGACACCCAGAGAGGCTCGTTCGGCGCCTACGCGGCCCGAGGCCCAGGCCCTTGCCCACGGGACGTCTGGTCGCGCGCGGGGCACCGCCGCGTCCGTCCGGTCCACCAGGGGACGCGGCTCGAGGGGCGGACTGCACGGCCAGGGGGCCTGGCCGGGGCGGGGGCTCACCTCTCCTCCGCCGCGCGGGCGCGCGGGCCGCGGACGCTCCCTCGTGGCTGGCGCGAGCCCCCGGCTGGCGGCGCGCGCGGGCCGTTACCGACCGTTAGCGCCAGGGGCTGCCGCTGCGGCGGGCGGAGCCGGGGGCGGGCGCTGAGGGGCCGTGGGGCCGCAAGAGGCGGGAGCGAGGGGAGCAGGGCGGGGACGCTGCTCCCGGGAGCTCCCGGCGAAGACTCAGGCCCACCGCGAGCCCGGGAAGAGGCCGCCGGCGAGGCCACCACTGGTCGGCTCCGCGCTGCCCCAGGCTCGGGCCGCCCGGGGCGTTCCGCCTCGCTTAGGCATTGGCCGGCTGGAAGCCACCTCGGCCCAGCTGTCCCCGCTGCCGCTGCCGCCAGCTTCCCGTCTCCATGACAATAGCGCGATCGAGGCCCCGCCTCACCCCGCCCCTTTGGCGCCGAGACTAGGAGGAAAGCGGGCTTACGTCACCAGGGGGCGGAGCCCAGAGAGGCCAGGGCCCAATCATAGGTGAAGGAGGTGTCAGGCACTGGGCTGGGCGGACCCAGGGCTTCTCGGAGAATGTAGTCTGAACCGGTCAGTCCTCTTGGTGGGCGGTGTCTGGGGGAGGGGAGCGGACGGAGGGGAGGAGCCAAGGCGCGTGCACGAGGGCGCACTGCCGAGCGGGTGCCGGTGCGGCGGGTGGGTTAGTGTGAGCTCGCGAAATAAAGTACATCTCGCCCGTCAAAGTCAATGCGAGAAACTTTGTATATAGTTATGCTTGGGCTTGCGTGTGGCCCCATTATGCGAAGTTTCCGAAATCCCGAGCTTCCGCGGCGTGCCCAAACCTGTGCCATCCTCTGTCCTGGTTCACCAGCGCCCCTGTCTGTCCCAGAGTTCGAGTGCTTCCGTGGCTTGTGGCGGCGGGAGGTGGAGAGGAGAGGAGAGGGTCTGTTTTGTATTCTAACTGTGTGGCCGTCGTGGGCAAGGGCTCTGCCTCTGACTCAGTTGTGTGTGTTTGCCTCGCCAGCGCCTCGCTGAACAAACAGTGGTTGGGTTGGGCACTGCTCTGCCCAGTGTTTGCAGTTGAGCGTGGGCGGGTGCGAGAGTGCGTGCGAAGGGGAAGGCGACTTAGTTGAACAAAAGGGAAGGGGACCTGCTCCCTCCACCACCACCGACTTGGCGGTGCGAGCTGCGTGCGATTGGAAAGCCGGGAGAAAGAGGCGGAGAGGCGTGGGAGTGGAGCTGGGGACGGTCCCGAGACCTCCTCGGGTGTAGCTGATTCTCTGGCAGTTCTTGCCCACCACCCATACTCTAGAAAAAGGCTACCCCGGTAATTCCAGGAACCAGTGTCTTTTCCCTCGCCGTCCGGCGGCGTGTCGGTAGAAGGAAGGCTAGCCGGAGACGTGCAGACGTCTGAGGCCTGTCTCTCGCCCACCTGCTGCTGCCGGCGCAGAGGGGCAGTCATCCCGGACTTCCTGCGCCCTGGGCGCGGGCCATCCATCGGCTCTCCCAGAGACTTTCATTCGGGATCTCCAGCTGGCTCTCGGCCTCCCTGGCTTGGGGAAGACGCCAGAGAGCGGTGGGCAACGAACGGCCTCGGAGCCCAGCCTGCCGGAGAACAAGAAATCCGCTAAGTCCGCAATCTACTGTGGCTAGGAGAGCGCAGAGCGTTCGCCGGCGCACAGTCCGCGGCCTTGTTCCCTTTGTGCTTCGGAGCGGCGGGACCCGCTGCAGGGCCGGCCGTGCGGCGGGACTGCCACTCCGCCCCAAGTTAGCAGAAGAGGAAAGTTGGAAGAGATCGGCGCTCCTGGGATGTGATTGTCATCCTGGGGCCGGCGCTCGAGAGTCTGAGAGAAAGCGAGAGAGAGGGAGAGACCGGGGAGGGGAAAAGGGGAGGCAAAGAGGAGGGGTGAGAGGGGGGCCGCGGAGGGGAGGCGGGCGCTAGGGAGGGGCGAGAGGAACGCCAGCGAGCGGGAGAGGGAGCCGGGGAGGAAGAGGGAGAGGGCGAGGCGCGCCTGGCGGCCGGGTTGGCTGCGGCCGCCCAGAAGCTCCTGCCAGTCCTCCCACCGACTACACCCCGGGAAGGAGGAGCTTCGGGCGCGCACAAGGCGTCAGAATCCTCAATTTCCAACTTAGCATCTTGGCAGGACCTTTGCAAAGCCAAAAGCAGAGCCCCCCGGTGCAAAGAGCGAGGGGAAAAAAGAGAAAGCAGCAAGGGAGGGGAGGGGAAAAAAGCCCAGCTGGGGCGAGCGAGGCGCGCAGAGGAGCGGGCGCGGCGGTCGCAGCCGGAGGCGCGCGGGAAGCCAACCAGGAGGCGCCGCGGGCCGGAGCCCCGGAGCCGGGGCCAGAAGAGCGGCGGCCCAGGGCAGCCAGAGGCCAGGTGCCCGCCCGCTCGCCCTCGCAGGGCGCCGCCCGGCTCGTTGGCGGCCGCGGCGCGGCGCGCCCCATGCCCGTGTGTGGCCATGTCCTATCCGCAGGGCTACTTGTACCAGCCGTCCGCCTCGCTGGCGCTCTACTCGTGCCCGGCGTACAGCACCAGCGTCATTTCGGGGCCCCGCACGGATGAGCTCGGCCGCTCTTCTTCGGGCTCCGCGTTCTCGCCCTACGCTGGCTCGACTGCCTTCACGGCGCCCTCGCCGGGCTACAACTCGCACCTCCAGTACGGCGCCGACCCCGCGGCCGCAGCCGCCGCCGCCTTCTCCTCGTACGTGGTAAGTGAGCGGGATCCGCGGCTGGCGAGGGGCAGCAGGGGCCCGGCGGGAGGACGGGGGCGGAGGGGGACACGGGCCTAGGCGCCAACACCGACCTCCCCCGCCAAGCTTCGCGACCCCTTCAAACTTGGGCGATTGTCTCCCCCGGCTTCGCCCAGGCCTCGGACTCAAGAGTTGCTCAGAAAAGAGAGCCGCGTCTTGCTCGGATCGCTGAGCTTGCGGGAAGGGGTTCTGTGGGGAGAGGTAGCTGCAATTAAAGAGCAGCATTTGGTGTAAACGTAAGCTCCGGGCTGCCCTGCAAATTTTATATTTTTGGTTTTGCCATTTTGGAAAAGTAGTTCAAGAGAAATAGACCCGAAATTTGAGCAGAAGCGTGCTAAGTCAATGTAAATGTGTTTGGCCTAGCCTTTAATTAGTCCTCCAAAATGTTGCAAATCCGTAATCCTATCTTCGCAATCCGATTTGCGGGTATTAAATTTCAGAAAAGTCGGTCGAGCTGCGGTGCATCCGGGATTTTTCGGCCGGGTTGTAACTTCGGTCTGGGGTAGTATTTTGGAGGGTGGGAGTGCCTGGGCATGGCTCAGCTTTTTGTTTGCATTTGTTAGCGTGTTGAAAAAAAAAAAAAAGAGCAAGAGCCTTTACTTCCCTTGTTTTCCCCCCTTGCGCCCAACGTGCGGCCGCTCCCGCGTGGACCGCGGAGTCGCCTCAGTTGCCCAGGCCTCTATCTGGATGGAGGCCGGGCTGCCCTGGCCAGATCTGCTCACGGGGTACGGACGTGCCGGGGCAGATGGGGGCCTATGGGAGGCACCGAGGCCGGGACAGCTTCAGGGGCCCCAGAAGGACCTGACCCAGGAATTAAGGTCCCCGCTGCCTTCTGAGGAGGGGGAGGAGTTGCTCCTAGGTCTGAACCCCGCCAGCCTTGCCCCAGAGGAAGCTGGAGTGCGGGCCTCGTCCACCCACAGACCCCGGGGAGCGCAGGGAAAAGGGTGCTTCGGTCGTTCCGATGGCAGTGGAGACCAAGGCCCACACTCACCTCTCTGCGTCTCCACCGCAGGGCTCTCCCTACGACCACACACCCGGTATGGCGGGCTCCTTAGGGTACCATCCCTACGCGGCGCCCCTGGGCTCGTACCCTTACGGGGATCCAGCGTACCGGAAGAACGCCACAAGGGACGCCACGGCTACGCTCAAGGCCTGGCTCAACGAGCATCGCAAGAACCCCTACCCCACCAAGGGCGAGAAGATCATGCTGGCCATCATCACCAAGATGACCCTCACCCAGGTGTCCACCTGGTTCGCCAACGCGCGCCGGCGCCTCAAGAAAGAGAATAAAATGACGTGGACGCCGCGGAACCGCAGCGAGGACGAAGAAGAGGAGGAGAACATTGACCTGGAGAAGAACGACGAGGACGAGCCCCAGAAGCCCGAGGACAAGGGCGACCCCGAAGGCCCCGAAGCAGGTTGGTGGACACGGGAACGGGCGTGTTGGGCGGGAGTAAAAAGGAAAAGAGAGACCTAGAGGGGGCGCGCACGGGGCCTGGAGGTTGGGAGCAGGGGTCTCTACCTTTGCGGGCGGGAACCGAGTCCCGCCGCGCGGCCACTGCGCTTCTGACAGCCTGGGTTTCACCCGCAGGAGGAGCTGAGCAGAAGGCGGCTTCGGGCTGCGAACGGCTTCAGGGACCACCCACCCCTGCCAGCAAGGAGACCGAGGGCAGCCTCAGCGACTCGGATTTTAAGGAGCCGCCCTCGGAGGGCCGCCTCGACGCGTTGCAGGGCGCCCCCCGCACCGGCGGGCCCTCCCCGGCTGGGCCAGCGGCGGCGCGGCTGGCGGAGGACCCGGCCCCTCACTACCCCGCGGGCGCGCCGGCGCCGGGCCCGCATCCAGCCGCGGGAGAGCTGCCCCCGGGTCCCGGCGGGCCCTCGGTTATCCATTCGCCGCCTCCGCCGCCGCCTCCGGCGGTGCTCGCCAAGCCCAAATTGTGGTCTCTGGCAGAGATCGCCACATCCTCGGACAAGGTCAAGGACGGGGGTGGCGGGAGCGAGGGCTCTCCATGCCCACCGTGTCCCGGGCCCATAGCTGGGCAAGCCCTAGGAGGCAGCCGTGCGTCGCCGACCCCGGCGCCATCGCGCTCGCCCTCGGCGCAGTGTCCTTTTCCAGGCGGGACGGTGCTGTCCCGGCCTCTCTACTACACCGCGCCCTTCTATCCCGGCTACACGAACTATGGCTCCTTCGGACACCTTCATGGCCACCCAGGGCCCGGGCCAGGGCCCACAACCGGTCCGGGGTCTCATTTCAATGGATTAAACCAGACCGTGTTGAACCGAGCGGACGCTTTGTCTAAAGACCCGAAAATGTTGCGGAGCCAGTCTCAGCTAGACCTGTGCAAAGACTCTCCCTATGAATTGAAGAAAGGTATGTCCGACATTTAACGCGGGCTGCGTCGGTCCCGGACTTTTCTAATTTATTAAAAACATGGCCTTGGCAGTTATTTTTCCATCACTGAGAAAGAGAGAGAAAAAAAATAAACTACCCCTCCTATTCAAAAGTTTATAGTTTATGGAGATGGATGGCATAAAAATGTAAACATCTCCACACACACACACAAAAGTCTTAACCAACCGAAAAGAAAAAAAAGGATTTGTATTAAATCTTATTCTGTATATTTAATGTAGCATTTTTGTATTTAAATTGATAATTCATTATCTTTGAAGTAAATTATGAAATCAAGACACCTGTACAGGCATTTAATGTTTTTTTTTGTAATATAAATATATACATTTGTGTTTCCCCAAAACTGTTTCATAGTTTAAAAATACAAGTTTAATTTAATTTTTTACACCTATTGATTCTGCTGGGTATGAGCTAAAGTATTATTACAGAAAGGAAACAGGTTATACTCTTAGATTTAAAAAGTGAAAGAAACTGCAGGCGCCTTTGTAAAATGCAAAATATTTAATTAAAAGAGATTTTAACATAATGAGAGCCACTCATTACTTTTTAGAAGCCTCAATAAACTGTCCATTGCCTTGGTCAAAAGGTGCAAACTGCAACTTTTTTCAAAGTGGGGATTGAAAGGTTCCACAGACCTTCAAGTGTGCCAGGGGAAAAACATAATTAGGTTGCAAGCCCGGGGGAACCTGGCCCTGCCCAGAAAGCAGATCTGGATCACTGATGCGGGCTGTTTGAGAGAGACTGGACCCTGGAGGAAGGAGAAGAGAGACCCAAGTGTGTGCCCAGAAGGGAGAAAAGATGGCAAAGCCAGTTAGGGACACGCACCACCCGAGCGCCATCGCTTAACCTAATTACTTCCAATCAGTGTCGTGTTTTATGCAAAGTAATCAGCTGGTGAACTTTGCTAATGAGTTCGATTTTATGCCGGATTTAGCCCTTATTACTATTTCAAGGGTGCTTCGGGCTAACGGGGGGGGGGGAGTATTCAAGGATGCCAAGAGGAAGGCTTTCCCAAGTCACCGTCTTCTTCTCTGCCCCTTCAAATTTGGGCATTGATCTCTTTGGATTTGATTAAATTATGAACGTTCCATCCCAGACGGTGCGGGTGGCGGGCGGCGCAGGAGTGTCCGCTCAGCTACGGGGCTGGGGTCGAGCGGGACGGGCGAGGGGACGGTTTCCCCCTTTCACAGGTAGGTGTCACACTTGTCCTGAATTTCAAGCCTGCACTTTGCAGAGTCGGAGATTGCAGAGTGGGCGGAGGGGGAGGAGGGAGCGCCACAGCCACTTGGGGGAAGCGAGGGGAGCCCCTGAAAGGATCCCTCCCCCTCACAACGGGCCTCTTTTTGGACAAGTGGCCTTCAGAAGTTCGAGGCCATTTGCCTAGATAACGAGGCCGTTGTGGACTCCATCAGGCTTGTCGTCGCTTTAGCACTTTTCCCAGCTTAGATGCAAGAGTCCGAGCAGCTACAAAAATATTTTTGGGGTTTTATTTTCTCGTTTTAATCCCGCATACTTCATCTCAAAATGAAAAGTCAGGATGCATCTGAATCCCTAATGAGGAAGAATCAACGCCCTGCGCCGGAGGCCGGCCAACGATGTGGGTTCGGGCTTGGCTGCGGTGCTGACGGCTCCATTTTGCAGCCGAGATCTGGAGCCTGGACGCGTTTTACTTCGTGGGAAATTTTCAGTGGTTGGGGGAGGGAGTGGGGGTGGGTGTTATAGCAAAAACATACCCCAGCGAGGGGAATTAATTTGCTCTATTAAACCCAAGCCTGAGTGTAGAGAGGGAATGTGTTTGCACATAACACCGGCTTAATTAGGCTAAATCAAAATGCACATATTTGCATTTCTGCTGAAGATGACTTTAACCTTAACTCAGTGTTTTAAACCCACACCGAAGTTTCACTGGAGTTGCTTTTGCTATTTCTTTTTTTTTTTAACCTGCCACGGGGCTCCTTTAAGCTTATTCGAATTTAAACAAGTTTGAAAGCTGCATTGTCCAGATGTTTTAGCAAACAGCGGTGGACTTCAGGGTTTAAATTAGTGAGAAAATTCACGCAGGGAAAATGGTTTCAAAGCTGGAAGTGTGAATGATTAAATATGCATGAGACGATCGTATTTTATTTTGTCCCTTTAATTATAAATGATTTTTTTAAACAATTGAATTCCAGAGATGACTTGCCCTCGCTCTTTCTCCCCCCACCCCGCGCCTCATCCCCCTCTACTCTCCCCTCCCTCCCCCACAGCCTGGTTCACAATCAGCTTTCCCCCCTGTTGAATATGCAGCCCCAGGAGTCACCTTTTCTAAAAAAGTCAGAAGAATAGGCCAGTCCCCTTCTCTTAAGGGAGACTTTAAGGACATCAACTCGGCGGGGTTTTGGAAGCATTGGCCCTAAACCCTGCCCAACGATTTTAAAAAGAAAATTACAGGCCTTCCAGTGTTCCCGGGAATATGCAAATGGCAGGGCGCAGGCCTCCCAAATCAGACCGCGAAGGCTCGGGGCTGGGAGCCGAATGCCCGCCGAGCTGCCTGGGAACGGGAACCGCGCACCCGGGAGCGCCAGGCGTTTCTCTTCATCCAGGGGCTGCGCGAGAGCCTCCCGGCTGAGGAGCTAAACCGCTGGGGGCTCGGCGGCTGCTGCCTGAGTCGCTGACCCCTGCCCGCATCCTCCCGCCCTGGGCCTCCGCAGGGTCTGCGGTTTTCTATGCGCACTTGGTCTTCAGTACTAGCACCCAACTACGTCTGGGTTTTTCTTCTTTACAGAGCTGGGTTTCGGTGGTCACCAGCTTTTCTGGTGTTTAGCGACTTTGAGTTTGGAGGTGGCCTACCAGGCAAATGGGGGGTTCAGGGCATTTAGGAAATGTCTTCCTCGCTTAACCCCAGAAGTGGTTGCGTGTCTGTAGGATCCCAAGTTCCTCCCTGAGCCTCTCCTTTGCGTCTCGGGCCCTCCAGCAGGCGAAGCCTCTTAGACGCTCTGGGGAAAATTTCCAGCGTGTACGGGGTTCAGGGTTTGTTATCAGGCATGGAATGGGGCGCAGACGTTGCGCGAGGCAGAGCCTAAGGTCCCGAGGTGCTGAGACTGTGCTGGTGTTTGCCACCTGTGCCTGGCTAGACAGTTTCTGGGCCTCAAGAAACGCCTACCTTGGCATTTAGGGACCAGAAGCCGCTGGATGTCTAGCAACAGGGGTCACGGGATCACTGCATGGGGTCTCTGTAAGCAGTCCCCTGAGGCAGTGCAAAAACGGGAACCTGCTCTGTGCCGGGCCGAATCAGTTCATGGAATTTGGGAGTCAGGAGAGATTCCTTTCTTCTTCCCGCTCCTACACTCCGGGTACCAAGGCCCGAAATGCTGTTCCCCCAACCCGGGTGCGGGGTCTGCAGCAAGGCCTCCTGGTTTGCAAACCCCTCCAGGCCGCTTATTCCGGGTGCCATGCGCAGCCCTTGGGACCTAGAAGATTGAGGGGGAGGGAGGGTCGCGCGTAAGGTTTTGGAACCGGCCGTGCCTCCTAGTCCACCTGTCCCGCACAGTTAGCTGGCGACTCGGACCGAAGCGCGGAACAGCGCAATGCAAACCGCCCAAAGTGAAAGGAATGTAATTGCGCTCCCATGACTGAGCCAGACGCGGATGCAGTTTAGGAAGGGCGCCGCCTACCGGTCCCCGGGAACCATGCGATTCGCAGGGAGGGGGACAAGAGGAGACCCCAGCTATCCCCGCACCCACCGTGGGGCCTTAGCTTTGAACTCTGGCCCGGAGAAACTTAAACTGCTTCTTCACCCCAACGCGCCACAGCCCTGGACCTAAGACCCAGTTAGCATTCGGGATTTGGGGAGCAGGGCCCACGACTAGAACAGTGTTAACCCTACCGGTTCCCCCCACAGCTTCAGCACATTTCAAAAAAACAGGCGTAGGCAATTGAGAAATATGCTACCGGCTGAAATAGCCTGCGGGTGGGGGCTGCAACCCTGAGCGCCCGGCAGCTCCCGCCCTGCATCAGGTGTACTCTCTTCCACTCCTGCGGGCCCTTACACGTAAGTTCAAACTGTGGACCCCGCGCAGTTTTAATTTGCGGTTTGGAAAATGGGGGTGCTACCGTGCAACCGCGCCCCAAAGACCGTTTTGGTCTTTAGAGTTTTTGGCCTGTGGGTGAACATCTGTAGAAAAAGGAAAAACAAAACAAAAGTACCCTGCCATTGCGTCGAACCCTCCTATTTCGAAAAGAACTTTCATGAGGTCAGCGTGGCAAGGCCTGCGGTGCTCACCTCGGCTTCGCCCTATCCCTCCAGAAGCCCTCATAGGTTGTGTTCACTGTTCTCCCTCAGGTGCAGGGTTGTTGGGGAAAGCCGGGCGCGCCCTCAGGCTGGATCTTTGTATCCCTCGTCGCCCGGCCATCGAACAGGAGGGAAACCGGGCCCGACTGGGACCTTGGCGCCCGCCTTCCCCTTAAACTGGCTAAAACTTCAGGACTGTCCCTAGACCCACCCCGCGGGTCTTCCTTTGTGTCCAGCGCAGAACGGATCTCCTTTTCGTTTTCACAATTACTGCGACTTGGGCCCCGGGCATTAGTCGAGCCCAGGTTGTGGCCTAACAGCAGATCGCCTCGGGGGCTTGGCTGCAGCTCTGGCCGCACCTCCAGCACTGGGCGGCCTCTCGGGGCCAGTGGGGGTCTCTGGCCTCTTGTCAGCCGCGGGCCCCAGCCCTGGGTCCCCAAGGCCGCTCGCCGGGCAGCGTTCGTTTCCGGCACCGGGACGAGCCCAGCGCGCCCAGACACCACTTTCCCAGTGAAATCTGCTTTTATTTGCTCCAAGCAAACCCCGGGCTCTCAGCGCTCCCGCCTGATGGATGCAAATGTAAATGTGCACTTATTTAATTGGATCAGGCCCCAAGATAAAAGAGATAAACGGCTCCCCGTTTGCTAACTTATTTTCCGAGGCATGCAGCGCCGCGTGGAGGGGAAGCTAATGAAGGAGCAGCGAAGCGCTTGGCACTCGAGCTCTCCGAAGCGGTGGCACGCGGGCCGGCCGGCTCCGCGTGGGCTGCAACTCCTTGTCGACCTGCTTTGCACTGGCCCTGCCCGCTAGATAGGGTCCCCGCAGGACCTTCTGTGCGCCAGGCTGGGAAAGTGAGAAGGCGTGATGTTGGCATCGCGCTTGCAATTACCCCACCCTCGCCACAACTTTCTCTTTTCTCCACCTCGGTTTGTCCCCCTCTCCTTTCTTACCCAAGTCCCCATGCTTGGGTCGTACTGGCTGGGCCCATTCCATAGAAAATCCTTCCTATCTTCTTTCCCAGGCATCTTCTTCATTCCCCGGGCGTCGTCTTCCACCCCAATTGGAGGTTTCAGAAAAAGACGCGAGGGCCATGAAAAAGACCAGGTGCGACCCTCCAGCCTCCAGGGTCCTGCGGAGCCGCCCTTGAGAAGGAAGGACCCCCTTCTCTGTTCCCACAAGGCCCTTTTTTGGAGCATGAGATTTCTTTCAGAATCAGCTGGAAGACATGGATTAACCCCTTTTCTCCCAAATAATGTAGGAACACAATACACAGAGCACTTAAGTCTTTGCAAGGGGTCGCGGAACCCCGAAAACC